TGAATTCATACCATAAAGCACGCACATCCACACCCACATCCACCCCCACTTGGGAATGGGTTAATTAATATTCAGAGTTGTAATGGCTTATCAAATACAGATGTTAAAAACCTCAAGCCTTAAAGCAGCTGTGAACACTTCTAAGTTTGCTAATTAGCTTTAATTTATTCTGTACTATTAAATTCCTTAAGTGAAGCAAAAAATCTAACCAAAATGCCAATTTGTCACAAGCATGTTCCCCAGTGCTGTAAAGGTTTCAGATGAAACAATAGTTTAAAAAAAGCCTTTGCACCCAACCTGCTCAACGGTCACATAGTGAGAAAGAACACAATCACGTATTTTCAGAAGAAATCTGTTTGTTGCTGAGCATAGCAAAATAATCTGTTTCCATCAAACCCTGATCTCGTTTTCCATGAACGTGCCATGAGTCACTGATATCAGAAAGGTGAAACTAAAGCAGTGTTTATAAGCTCAGCTTGGAAAGGAACACGAACACCACTTAAAATCTTCCTTCAGGTTTGTTAATATCCACCTCCATACTGATTTGGAGCAGAGATTTACCAATGCAAAAATGCAGTCATAATAGCTTTAAAAAATTCCAAGGACTAGGCTGACATGAAGACTAAGCTTTTAGAGACGTTATCCAGGAGAATGCCCCACAGACTCTGCATGCTCAGTCCCGGAAACTGTTTAAAGCAGCAGCAGCAGGCAATTATTTGGGCTGGAGGGCCACTTAGGGAGGTTTGGTGAGCTGCTGTGGGTCAGGTCAGCAACCCCATCATCTCCTTCAATGGCTCACCCAAACTCCCTAAATGGTCCAAGGGCACCAGACAGACTGGGCGAGTAGGAATTTCATAGAGATGGGGTGGGACCTTCACAGGCAGGACTCACTCGGCCAGGTGCATGGGATGGGGTCACAGGCGGGCAGGGGGTAGTGTCTGGGAGGCACCAGGATCGTAGGGCAGTGACAGCATGTGTTCATGCAAGGGAGCAGATCACAGCTCTGCCCAGGCCCTAGCCCTGTGCCATCACCATCTCACAATCCTGGCCCCAGCCCCGGCCCTGCCAGCAGCCCCATCCCATGACCCCAGCTAAGCATGCCCTGCCTGCAGGCACCCCGGCAGTGAGAGTAGGGCAGACAGGCCGGGTCTGGTGGCTGTGGCAGTGACACTAGCGGTGGCAGCTGGAAGGAGCTTATGCCGCTGGGAAGTGCAGTCTGGCTGTCATGCAACCCCAGCCCCACTACATGCCCAGAAAAAAGAGCAATTCTGCTGCAGGCTCTCAGTTCCTTGCAATAGGTCAGAACATTTGTAACACTGAGTTCCTAACACCTTGTGCTGCTGCTACTTGTCCCCAGGGAATGCACATGCCACGTGCCCTCTGGCACATAGCAGGGTATCCCAGGTGGGCTTTTATTTACAGATATTATAAATACATTTATGTTGTTTTACTTGCATGCTGCAATTCCAATGTAGCAGCCTTCAGTGGCACCACAGCCCTAGATTCTAAGAACCAAGGTAGGGACTTGACTTTATATTTCGTCTCCCTCATTTGCACAATGTGGTTTTGTACTCAACTCAGGTGGCAAGAGAAAGCTTAAGTCCATCCAGGTTCACAGTAGCAGTTGCACAGTAGTGGTTTATATTAGATGGGCATCGAACTCCAGAATTAAAGACAGCAACAAGGCTACATTAACAATCCCAGCACTGGACTTCCCAACATGCTGTTGACAGCTGTACTTGAACCTAAAAATATCATACTACATAATTCTCCCTAAATTCCCACATTTGCCTAGGTCTGCATGTTAGCACCAACCGTGTGCACATCCAGTGCGAGATGCAGTACTGCAGATCTGGAGAATAAGGCTCTAAAGCTTTACGGTTAATTTCATGTGCTCACAGGGCCCCAAAACTGAACAGGCCATTTTTATAATTAGTACAAAAGGTCCCCAGTCTTTGGGGACTATTGAGTCTACACGCTTAAATCAGGGCCTTCTCTTCTGATCTCACAAAGACTGAAAGGAAACCATTTACTAATGAATTGCTCCTAAAGTCTGCAAAGGAGTCTGACTGAGGTTCCAGACACTGCTTCAGAGATCTTCTCTGTCCAAAAACTAGTAGAATTCATCATGTATGCAGGCAAGGTTTCCCCAAGTGAGATGGCACTTTCGTTGCCTCCAAAAGCCTTCAGTGGGGTGCCCTAACCAAGGTCCCACTGATATGATGACATCAAGATGTTCTTGGTTGACAAACACCATTTAAAGATCCTCTACTTAGGCAGAATGTCCTCCACCAAGGACTGAAGGCTTAGTGTTAACGCCTTCCATCCAGGTCAAAACCTTTGATTCTGGCCTCTCTCACACTTGGGTTTTACTTTTTCCTTTGTCCATGTCTTCGTTAAATCTAGTATTAAGGCACTGGGTTTAGCGATGATACTGTTCACATTTGGGCAGCACCACAAAATGTCCAACACAACATTAAAAAAGTGCTAAATTAACCACTTTAATGAGTGTGGTCATGTTCCTGATAAAAGGAAGGAATAATTTTTAGGGACTCTTAACACTTGTGTACATCCCACATTTGTTTTAAGTTCTCCTTATTAGCATCTATGGACAATAGTGCCTCCTGAATGCAGTCTGCTGAAACAGCTCTGTAGTCAGCTAATACTGGGCAGAGCACAATGCCTCATTGTTGAACACTATTTAACAAGATCTGTCCTGTTCATATTTAAAAACAGGATCTCAATTCAAGAAGTTCACTCCCCCTCACAAAATCACTCATCTTGAATACTGTTTGCAGTACATACCCCTGAGCAGGCTTCTAACTCACTGTTAAGCTGCCAATTGTTAACATTTGGCAAAATGCTAGGAACAAGGCCAAAACCTTGGAAGCAAGAGAGATCAGACTCTGGATATTCTCTACCTAAAGCTATAACCATTACCTTGGTGGGATATAACAACTAATACAGAACAACTGTAGGAAAGGATGGGAAGTTTTAGGTTCCAAAGCAGTTTGACAGTCCCCTTTACCCCAAGAAAACAAAGACCCATTTAGACTAGCATCAGAAGTTCTAGTGAAATTGATATTTGGGACTGATGTTCATTTCCAAGTCATGCAATTAGCTCTAGTGCATTTTAGTGGTAGATACAGGAAACTGTAAAATATGCAAGATAAAAAAATAAATCTACTTCAGGAACTCCTGACTGGTGCTGCCAAAAGGCAGTCCTACATATGCATTGCATACAGCATGCAGCAACTTACAGATGACTTAGCACCCCTTCACTTTGGAGCAAAAAATCTATTCTCTGCTAGTTTAAAATCCTAGCTCTATTGAAATTTGGCCTTTGGCATCCGTTTACCAAACGTAAATGTCAAGACACCTAGTATAGCAAGTCAGAATCTAGAAATGAGATTATTCCATTTACCTTACAAAGACTCACTGGGGGGTGGGGGAACTGGAATGGCATGCACCCAAAATATGTTATCCAAGTCTTTCGCATTCAGGTATTAACGTATATATGGGTTCTTCTGAAAAACCTCATGACAAAAGCAGTGGCAAAGATGTACTCAAAAGCCTTTATATCACATTTACACTTTTGTTCATATGCACCATCTCTCTGCTTCATAGATAGCATTTTCATTTTAGTTCTGCACTCCTAAAAAGGTGGTTTCCTAAACTGAACATTAAAATGAAAGGCTCATTAACCAATATTTTATGCATGCATCTCTATGCCCCAAACTTTTTTGGAAGCCATTGGCAACCTCTCACCTACACTCACCTAAATACAAAGGAACTGAAATTACAAAAGAATCTACACCTCCCACTTCCCACAGCTGCTTACTGTACTTTGAACTACAAGACAGGCAAAAATCCTGGTTGAAAACACTTAAAAATAGTTTAGGTTGTAAAAGCTATTTAAGCAGCTTGACAATTTTTCAGCAAAACTGAAAGAAATTCAAGACAAAACGCAGAAGAGAAAGAGCTTAAAATTGCCATTATATACCACCCGGTCAGCAGCTTGTTGTGATGTTTTAAAACGAACCAATATGCAGCCAGTCTTAGAGATACTATGTTTTTTGGTAAAGATACTTAGGGTCAGCCTGCTTGGTATAAATGCCTTTCAGTATTCTCAAGCCTGCAAGCAGAACAGTCTAGTTCACTCAGATGTACAAGCTAGACCATGGGTGTTTTACTATAAGTGTCTTATTTATAATAAGCCAGGAAGAACAGTTATGCAAGCGTTCACAAGAGACTGCATGCAGCCTAACACCCAGCTGGTCCAAGAACACAAAACAAAACAGATGCAACTGCTTAAACAAAAGCAGAAACAGCACAAAAAGCAAGGAGGACAGTCACAAAACACTCCTTCCAAGCTAAAGATGATTCTCAAAAGTTATTCTTTCTGAATACAAACAACTACCATCACTGAAGCTATTTGAGGGTGATGTAAAAAAAAAACAAAAAACAAACAAACAAAAAAAAACAGTTTTCCTTCTTAACACCCAAATGCAATTTTGTTACCAAATATGCTGGATGACTAAAGATGAAAAATACAAGTACTTGTTCTTTTTTTCTTAAATCTTGAGTAATGCAACGTCATGAAAGATGTACAGAGACTGTATACAGGACAAAGCCTTCACCAGATTTTAAAAAGTTTTTTCTAGGATCATTCAGAATTCATATCTTTGGCTAGAGATGCCATGTACTTATTTGTATGCCTGTAAAGATTCCTAACAATGGAACAGATCTAATCTATTATATACTTTAATAATTTTTCAGCTATTTTAAAAAAGTAACTCTAGGCATTTGAAATCTTATTTTAACATGCATCAAATTTCACAATTTTTCTGTTGGTTTAAACATCAGAACAATTTATCTTAAATTAAAAAAAAAAAACAAGTCACCTAAGCTCCTTGCTATTTCTTGGCTCAGACTTTAAAATTCCATTCATGAAATATAAGTTATAGAATTACAAGCCAGTAATGGATCTATGTTCTTACCTAGTCGTAGCTCTCCGAAGTTGCCACACCCTATCTTCTTGCCCACTCTGAAGTTGGGTCCCACCATAAGAACACCAGAGGATGTAGTGGAACTTGATGGTCGAGAACTATGCCCACTCCTCCCTGCCATTCCTTTTGTTGTCCGCTGCCTTTCATCCTTCTCCCGGTTAGAATGGTCCATGATCTTACAATGAAAAAACTCTCTGCCAGCAGACCAGCAGAACTGACTTGGGAGTATGCACTCTTCTCCTTAGCATAGAAATACTATATATATACATATATATATATACAAAAGTATCACTGAGTCAGGTTACAACAGAGTCATAGAAATGTATGGAGTTCTTTTGGCACCATATTCAGGCTCCTAATGCATCTCCCCAGCATACCACGTGGTCGATTACCTCCTGGAGAAGTCAGCAAGGCAGATCTTTTAGAACCTAAAAGAAAGAAGGAAATATGAAATTGCAAGAATAAAATCAATTACAAATTCATATTCAAGTACCAACCGTTAAAGACACACTCTGGACAATTTCCAGGCAGCAGTACTTAAGTTTCAGAAAAAATTAATAGCTTGGGATGTTCACTAGATCACTGTTTTCAATTACAAGATCCAACAGCATGAAGAAAAATAGATGACACTGGTCATCTACTCAGTTTTGAAACAAGCCTGCTAAAATGAAGTCCTAAGACTAAAATGCAAACATTTTTAAAAGTTAGTTTTAGTTTGTTATAAGTTAACAAACTAAGCTTAAGTTGGTCAAGCTCAATTATGTGTGAAAAAAAATCAAGTAAAGGGCAAAAAAAACCAACTCCAAATAAAAGAGTTTTTTTAATTATTTCATTAATGCATCTTATTTCACTCATTCACAAGTGTTTATACTTTTAAGGATAAAAAAGATCTACAAATTCCTCAGAAGAAAGGTGCTACCCAAGAATGTAGTTACATAGTTTTCCTATTCATTGACCACAGCACAGAAAACAAGTCCCACTTTATTCAAAATTTAAAGTACAAACTTCAACCAACCCTGGCTAATTCATATTAGTGAATTTGTGACTTGCTCCTGTTGACTCCCAACTGTTGCAAGCTGACTGTTGCAAGCTAGCAAACAAGCAAAACCAACCCAATGCTTAAGGCACAATTTACTACACCCAAACTGGGAAAGGTCAACTTATGTCAGAACATACTACGATGTACTATGGACAGACAATAAGCTACCTTGAAGGATAGGTTAAAAAAGTTAGCTAGTCATTAGTAAACATTCAGGATTGCATACCCTTCACTTTCAGAAAGAAATGGTGCATTGTGTGCATCGGGTGCACACATTTGCATTTTGCTAGTTTGAAAGGCTCTACTACAAGAAGAAACAGGGACCTATAAAAGAGTTCTGAAGGTATAAAAGTGGTAGCCCTACTTTTGCATGCAGACTACTGAACCCTAAAGTCACTCCTTAAACTGAGGAATTTGATAATCTTGGGGTGGCAATCTGCATCTCTGTGGCAAGATGAGTGTTTTGCTATTACACTAATTGCCCACTCAGGAATCAGTTCTCAAACACAATAAAACTTCATGGCTAGGGACAGAAGTTATCCATAAACCGGTTTAAGTGATCAGAAACTGGTTTAAACCTGTAATAGAACAGATGTTTCGTGCACATAAACCAGTTTCAAAATGGCTGAAACTGGTTTAAGATAAACCTGGTTGAATGTAGTAACAGACTTACTGATTTGGGTCAAACAGGTTTATAAAACTTCTGTCCCAGACCCCTTCCTGGTTCAAGTTAAATCACAGTCCCGCAGCAACCCAGCATGCTTTCCAGCTCTGCACTGGGCTGGGCCGTCTGCTCCAGCAAAGAAGGGATGGGGGGAGCAGAGACTGACCCCCCCACCCCGAGGCAAACCCCAGCTGGGGACTGGGGCTGGGGAGGGGGATGTTAAACTTTACTTCTCCCAAGTACAGAGCCACCCTGCCCTGCTAAAAACTTACTGTTGGGTTGCAACTGTGGACTCTAAATCTCAAAAGCACCTAGAAACAGGAAAAGGAAGTGATGAGCAACCCTGCAGAGTCCTGCTGCTGTGATTGTGGACTGCAAACCCCAGAGACTTCAGGGGCAGCAGGAAGAGGAAGTGAACACACAGCCCATGCTGGCTGTGCGCCAGAGAGCCATGCTGTAGCACCTCCCAGCTTCTGGCCTGAGCCACTGCAGGCATATGGCTACATTTCCTGAATCAAAAGTGAATCTGTCCAGTTGTTTCCCCGTTTAACCTCTGCATCTTAGACTAACCTGCAAAGACTGAATCAATTCAGCCTCAGGCTTTTTGACTATCTGTACTTAGCCAAAATGAACTGAAGAGTGCACACACCTGGCAGCACTGACTCTATCCTAGGAATTATACAAATGGGTTCAACACTTTTTGGAGCTGCCAAAACTTCTGCAGCATTCCAGCACTAAATGAAAGAGTGCCTGGTGTACTGTGGGTTGTAGTAGCCCCTAAGCTGCTTAATGGTGATATAGCACAGAATTTGCTTGCACCTGGCTTGATCACAGTTTGGCTCACAGAAAAGACAAAGAAAGTGAGCAGGTAAGAACGTGTCATAAAACAGTTTAGAAGATTCAAGAAAGAGGTCAGAAAAAGTCAGCTGAAGGTTATTTAGAGTTCATTTAGTTGTTTTATATCAGTTATACTGGATATAAAATAGGACATGGCATACAAGAGAAGGATTCCTTCTGCCGACAGAAAAATGAAGCCACACCCACCCACATGGGTTCTTAGGGATTACCAGGAATTTATAAAGGATTTCAGGAATGGCTAAAATATTCCGTCACCTCTTTGAATCCTATATAACCTGGTTTCAAGATGACCAAAGTCAGAATGTCAGGGGGAGCAGAAGACTTAACCGACGAGCAGCATGAACAAACAGAATTAAAGATGTATAGAAAATTAGATTAAATGCCTTACCCAGTCTCCAGTCATGCTACTCCCAGATACCTACATAGCATGTAAGGTGAACAGCAATGCCTCAGATGAACATCTTGAGCAAGGGAGAAAACTCAAGTTCTGATTATGGATCCAGAACACATCTCTGAACTACCACTTTCTCTGAAAACTGGGATTTCCAAGACCAAAGTCAACTACAACAGAATAGCTCTGAACCTTTCTGTGCATTATTATTATTATTATTTAGAGTCTATGGAGATACACCCCATTAGCATGTGGGAAGACACAAGCTAACCTTAATATAGTCAGAGATCCTCTCTCATGTCACCTTCACAATAAGATACTGCCTTGGGAAAGCAAGCATTTATGCTAATTACCCAAGGACACCCACAGAGCATACATATGAAGAAGAGGCAGAGAACATTTCAGCAATTGTTTGAGCTGTGAAAGCCTACATTAAGAGTCACACAGAATAGATTCCAGACTTGCCATAACTATCATCTGTCCATGCTCCTTATCTTGATGTACATATATCTTGTTTTTTATTGTTTTCCCTCCCCGAAACTGACCCAATTTTCTAGCCAGAATAGACTAGTTCTTTTAGCTCTCAGCAAATGCTTCCCAGTAGTATTGGGAACTTCCCTCACCATCCCAATCTTTAAGTCATCTATTGATCATCATCATCAAGTCACATTTTCACCCTCCTCTAGTTGCATGGAATCTACTTCTTTGAGCATTTTCCCAGCCTGTTATAGATCAAGGAGTACCATTTCCCAGGGTCTGACAGGTTTACTTGTCCTCATGCAGGCAATCAGATGTTTATTACAAACAAAACAAAAAAAACCCCAAACCCTAAAACACCTGATTCCATGCATACTTTTTTTACTCTCAAGTACACATAGTGCTCCCTTGTTCCTGCCAGACACAGCAGAAATAGGCACTTGCTTCCTTCATAGGAAATTACACAACTCCCACCATTTGCAATGTTACTGGGGGGTAAAATCTACTCATCTACTCACCCCTGGCAAGTGGAAAACTTTCCAAGTAAGGCCCTTTCCCCAAACTAAATCAGTTTCTGAAGTGTCAGGTTCTATTTTCTAGTTCTTATGGTAGTACCTGTATCTGCCAGATGCAACTGGCTGTAATAGTGAAAACAGGCTTGCAGACCAGAACACATGAAGTGCCTCAGTCACTGAATAGGGAACATTTAGGTAGCTTCTAGGCCATGCCTAGAAGCTATTAGGCAACAAAGATTGCCGGAGACAGTAGCTGAAGACACTAACTCACAGCAGCAGCCAAGCAGAAGCTACCTTCTGCCAGCAGGGCTACACTACTTCAAAAGGTACAATCATAGCTATGCTGACAGAACTTTGAAATATAGCAAGGCTTAAGATTACAACAGTTAAATGGAAGCAGAAGGAAGATTATAAAGCTGGAATTTTACTCAGCAAGGCTGTTCTGTCAGCTACAGCAGCAGAAAAGCACAGGACTTTGCTTTTATACTGGTACAAGGGCTGCCAAGCTAAGTCTGAAATGTTTCCAACACACCCACATCTTTGACTGGTTGGAAATATGGATATTCTCCTCCCTTATTTGTTGTTAGTGTTAACAGAGGTATTAACTGGAAGCACTGGCTGTTTCTCTTTTCATACCCAATGCAGAAGACTCCACAAAAAGGCCAGAGTGTTATATAGCCAAGTCAATAGCCAAGTAATTATTTCAACTAAAGCAAGCAAGGGCAGTGTCCGTGGAACGCATGTTGTTGGCATCTAATAAAAAGTAGATCCTTAAAAATCACAGTAGTACAGATTATTAAAAGGCTCCCACTAGGTGAGCAGGAATATGCAGTAGAATTAAAGCAGTTTATGGAAGTGATACAATCTTCAAGTATCAAGATATATACAGTACAAGAGACCAGAGTCTTCCACAAATCCCTTCAAGTAGATACATGGGTCTGATATTGGATTGGTACCAATATAAAGAAAATTGGCTGAATTGGAAAAATCAGCCTGATGCAGCCAATAATTTGGCCGATAAATACCTGTGCATGCACACAGCCACAGTGCAGCACGTAGGCGGCAAGGAGCAGAGCCTGGCAGCTTGGAGAGCTGCGTTGAGCTGGTAAGTCTGTTGTGGTGGAAGAGGGGGGAGGGGGCACATCAAGGCCCCCCACAGTGAGGGAGGAAGCGGGGCTGCCCAGCCGGGGTGGGGCAGGGTGGCAGCGGGGTGCCCCTGGATCAGCATGGGGCAAGACAGGCAAGCTGGGGCTGCACCAGGCTCCTCTCAGCAAGGGCTGGGCTTGGGGAGGGCAGCAGCGGCACTAGGAGCAGGCCTACGGAGGGGGTTGCAGCTAACCCAAATTTTGCCGTAGCCTCCCTCCCAGCACCACCACCCCCTCCTAGCACCACTGCTGCCCACCTGGCACAGCCCCAGCTCAACACCCTGCCTCCACCTAAGAGCCAGGGCTGTGCCAGACAGGTGGCAGCAGTGCTGGGAGGGG